ATCACAGAAGTTGCAATGGTAAGGTGCACATGCACTCATGTTGCCGTATGGAAGAATATAAAACTGGCTTTTACAAAGTGATATGTTTTAGGCTGTGTTTTAGTGGACTAGTATTTTTTAAAATACATTCAAATTTCAGTTATAATACATTGTATATGTTTATACATTATTACTATTTACAAATACTTTCTTAAACTTACTTTTTTCAAAACATAGAACATACTTCCTCATATAGCAAACAATTTTCTCATCTAGTTACGAACTTTGTACTCGTTTGCTGCTTGATGTAAGTTGCCTTGCTAAGCCTTATCAAATTTTGCACATGGAGGATATCAAACAAAATAATTTTTTTTAGGTTTTATATATATATACATTTTGAAATAACCAAAAATCATAAATTACTATATCAATACCAATGAATTCCACGATAATTTATCAAGCTTAGTAACTAAGCTGTACTTGGGTAAAAAAATATCACTAGTATCACATCTTACTGTTTGGAATCTAGCAGGAAAAAAAATGAGTTTGCTATAAATATTTCAAAGAGGCTGAGAAAGCCACAAGAGGGACACTGAGCTTTCGATTGGTTATACATATGCCATTGGGTGAAGTAGGTGTATGTGAGAAAGTATTTTCAAAAATTGAATATGTGGGTTGGGCCACCTTGGTTGATTCAATAAATATATTAATATCTCAGCAAATAGAAAAGATAGAAGATCCTTATTTATATTATAGCTTGTCAGTATCTATAATTTAAGTATCTAAATCGTAAGAAATTATAGACTTTGTATTTGGACTTCACAAACGTCTAATTTAAACCAATGCTGCATTCAAAGTACCACATGACACACAAAAGTTGATACTTAGTTGTTGTTTTTTAATATTTTACCTTCCATTTTGCCCTAGTGGTTTTCTCAGCGATTTTGATGTTAATCTTGTTCTTTTCCCACAATATTTTGAACGATAAGGCAAGTCTTTAGTGAGCTTGAAATTTATATTGTTTTAGACCTAAATACAGCTTAGTTACTATGCTTGATAAATTACAGTGGAATTCTGTGGTATCGATATAGTAATTTATGATTTTTTTGTTATCTAAAATGTATATATATATAAAAACCTAAAAAACATTTCTTTTCTTATCCTCAATGTGGGAAATTTCATATTGCTTAGCAACCTATGATAAGCAGCAACCAAGTACAAAGATCGTAGGTAGAAGATATAATTGTTTGCTTTACTTTTTTATTTACTGTTATATGTTTTAGGAAAAATAACTTTAAGAACTTATTTCAAAAT